TGTGCCCCCCAAAACGCCTAAAAACCTTGGGGGGGGGGGGGGGGTCTCTCCTCAACCACCACCAGTGTGCAGCATCCACTTGTTAATAGTAAAATCATGGAAAAAGACCTCATATTCATTGTCATGTCTGATGTTATAAAAATGTTATGTAATTTATAATAATAATAATAATTATTATTATACATTATTATTATTATTTAAAACGTTTATTAAAATAATATAAAAATAACTTACTATTATAGTAACTTAAAATTGTACATAATAAAACTTTACATTATGTAAAATGATCATAAATTTGTATTAAAATAATGTTGAAATAAATGATTCATAAAAAAGTATTATAAATAACAATAATATACATATATAATAATATAACTATAATAATAACCGCATTTATATTGTCAACTATTTTATATACAAGTTAAATAACATTTTTATTTATTTTTTCTTTTGCACAAATAAAAGCAGGCACATTAACATAGTGTCACAGTCACAGAAAATAGATGCCATGTGGCATCAGTGTCCTGGGGCAAGCATGTAGGTTTAAGCCCATTTTAAGTCTCCTGGACAGGACATCCAATACCAAATGTCAAATATGGCCTGTGTCTTGAGCTTTAAAAAATGTGTAACTCTGCCTGTTTGTGTGTAACCCCTTGTGGATTATGAAAGATGCACTTATAGAATGTAGTCTGTGTGTTCATTTCAGAGTCAGGCAGAAGCCCACTACAAGGGGAACCGTCATGCTAGGAGAGTCAAAGGCATTGAGACCTCCAAGAGCCGCCCACAAGAGAGTGACAAACCTCCTCCCAGACCTGTCTCGTCACCCTCACCTACAGGACCCTTACCGGCCATCTCTGATACTGAGCCCAGCAAAACAGGTAAGAGCTCGAGAATAATGTGATTGTAAAACATGTACATCTGGTCTTCTATGCTCACTCACACAGAACATTTGAGAAGAAAATATGTTTCCACAGAAGATACATTATTCTAGATCTGCTTCTATTCTGCTTCAAAAGATATGACTGGAAAGCTAGGACACTTAATTCACCCTACGAGTCAAAACTGGGACATAAAGATGCCACAAATATTCAAATTTTCTCCAAGTGTGTGGTCCATCCTCACTCTTTAAGGAGCAGCCAATTGAACATTTCCAACGCTGAAGTTCTGGGGTCTGTCACAGAACAATTACAGCCCCAACCATACAGTAACAGAAAGAGACAAAAACAACATCCCTCAGTCCCAGCACAAGATTTAAAATAGCCAGTGTATGAAATATAAGATGATGCATTACTTGTTTATCTCGTTGAAACGTTTTGGGGAAGTCTGGATGAAGGTCTCAGACATGGACCTCTTCATTCAGAGCCTAATTTTACTAAAGTGGCATGACTTTGGCCGTCACCGCTTTATTAGGAAGGCCTAGCTGATGTGTTTACGGAGCTGTGTGCAGGGCTATTAGGTATTAGAAGCCCATTTGTCTCTGTATCAGAATACATTTTGGGATTAGGAGGGCTAAATTGGAACAGAGGATGAGCAGTGAGTGAGAGCTGGTGAGACAGAGCGTGGATATAAAAAAGTTCAGAGGTCTGAGGATTAGCTAAGAGGGCAGAAGGGAAACATCACAGCTGATCTTGCTTTAATGAGAAGTGATTAAACACTGGCAGATCATAATGATGGTGAGATGAAATGGGGGAACAGAGTTTATAATCTGCCAGAGGGTGGGTGACTCCCTCTTGTGCCTGTTATTTGCTGGTCTTCTTTCCACAATCTCTTTACGCCTGTGCTCCCTGTTCTTTTCATGCGCCAGTTATCGCCAGCGTCAATCTGGATCGAACTATCATAAATAAGAAAAAAAAAACATCTACCACAACTGATAGATGTTTTATGAGCTTTAAAACATGTGTTTGAATTGCAGTTTTTAAACTACATTCTTGAACGCCAACATTAATCCATATCAAAAGAAATCATCAGAAGGATTTTTAGCTCTTATTTAAAGTTCCCTGTAAGTCGGCACCTTTAAAATGCTATCCCCTCCATAAGTCTGTGTGTGTGTGTGTGTGTATTTGTGGATATCTAGATGGATACCAGTCTAATTTACACTGTTGTTGATTTTGTTGTAAGGTTTACTGATCAGTTAGTTGATTGTTACCCTAGTCAAAGTCTTATGGTCTGTGAGTGGCATTTTTAGGTATTTTAAGAGCCTTGTTTGTCTCATGAGTGTGTGATGAACACTCATGTGAGGCTGTCAGTAATTCAAGACAACTAACACTTTGCATTTCTCATTGTACAATTCTCATTGTGAAAACACAAGATGAAGTACATAATATTGAAACCATTTGTATAGTTATTTATACCAAATACACTACCTTTCAAAAGTTTGGGGTCAGTAAGATTTTAGTTTGAAAGTAGTCTCTTATGCTCATCAAGGCTGCATGTATTTGATCAAAAACTAAAGTAACCAAAATGTTACTACAGTTTAAAAGAAAGATTTTGTATTGTAATATATTGTAAAATGTATTTTATTCCTGTCATGGCAAAGCTGTATTTTCAGCAGCCATTATTCTAGTCTTCAGTCTCACATGATCATTCAGAAATCATTCTAATATACTGAAACATTTCTTCTTATTATATGTTGAAAACTGTGCAGCTTAATATTTTTGTGGAAACCATGATACATTTTCCAGAATTCTGATATCTAGAAAGTTCAAAAGAGCAGATATTTTTTTAAATAGAAACCTTTACCACACAGGTAATTGTTAAAATAATGGCAGATATTTACCATGGAAACTTGCCATTTTAAGTTGAGTCAAGACATTTAAATGAGACAGTAAATTAGTTCAACTCCAAAAAAGACACGTCGCAAACTGTTGTCTTCATATTTTAAGTTTCATGAAAATAACAGTATCATATACAGAATGATTGCCTTTTTTCCACCTCCCCCTTGTCCTGCTTATCGTCTCTGTCACTGAGGATGGAGGAGGACAGTATAGCCGTGTCTCTCACTGAGGGATTTGCCTGTCCAGAGAAAACTGTCTATAGTCCTCAGCCCTAGAAAGAATTCCAGCGGGAGAGAGCCAAAACAAACCGGCCATGATCTAAATGTGAAACCAGATACATATGAAAGAATTCCGTTTTCCATTCAAAGCTCACTCCCCTGACCCCAACCCTTAGCAGGCCGGTGGCTCGCTTGTTTGTATATCCCGACAATTGCTTTGTTTTGATGCCTTCCCATAATACTAGTTTCACAACAGAGACTTCATTGAGCTGCCAACCCCTAGAGCAGGGGTTTTCAACCTTTTAGGACATGCGCCCCTATCCATTAAAGCTATTAAAGCAGCAAACTATTTTTCTTTTGCTCTTTTTGATTAACATTATTTACATAAGAAATGCACGGATCCGTTATTCTGATGTACATTTGATATTTTCTTTACTGCTTACATTCACTTAAAACAACCGACTGTGCTTACAAGGATACTTGTCAAGACAGCCATTGGTATTTACCTGCTGTCTGAGAAGGCTATCTGTTTGTGCACTTCAGGTGTGTGAGCGGTACGCATAGAAATGCTTTATCACAGTGCGTGGGTACCGCATTGAGATGTCTTGGGCTTAAATGGCTTAAAATTACTTTAATGTTTAAACTGACACGACTTAAAACACGTGAGAATTAAAAACTTTCTCGAGGAAGCAGCACTGGCCTGATCGTTAAGATAGTTTTGGGGGGCTGAAACCCACCTAAAAAGGGTTTAGAACCGCCCCTGGTATAGCGTGTGTAATTATACTGAAACATAAATATATAACCAGTTTACCTGATTCAATGTGATGGCTGAGCCTGTTTCTGAGATAACAACATGCCAATACGTGGTTGGATTTCCGACACGGCTAATCGTAAATCATCTTACCCTGTCAATAAGCGTGACCAGGGTTGCCAGGGTTTCACAACAAAACCTGCCTAATTGCTACTCAAAACTAGCCCAAAACTACAAAACACGGCAAGTGTTAAAGTAGCCCAATTCTGCTGGAAAACCGCGGACTTGGCAACACTGAGCAATTGCTTTGACTGATACTTGAGCCAACTCTGCTCTAACTGTCGACTAGCAGTGGGAGTCAGATTGCCCCCTAGTGGATGGCTAAAGATTTGTTAACTCGTATTCATAAATTCTCAAGGGAATGTCTCTGAATTAACTGATGCTTGCGCCCCCCTTGACAGGTGCTGGCACTCCCCGGGCATATTTCTCTTCATCTTTTTTTCTTTTTTGCTCCCACTGCAGTCAGTGTGAGTTTAAAAGCATGCGACTAGATATTGGGGATGCATCAGGGATTTGTGCTTGGGCCTAATCACTTTATCTCACTTGTACACACTGTCCTCTCTGTGTGTGTGTGTGTGTGTGTGTGTGTGTTTTTGTGTGAAAGCTCAAAAGGAGAATTCCCACACTTCATGAGAAACACTAGGCTGTGTTGAACCTCAGCTGCCGGGAGATGTAATTTATTGATGTTTTGTTTCATGCATCACTGGAGCCAGCATCTTCTCAGTGGTGGAAAGATAATACTCAGGCCTGTGGAATCACCTTTACAGTGGTTATAGAGTTTCAGTTGCCTTCTGCCTGTTTCCTTGACTATCTTCTGAACCAGTGATAATTTAAAGTTATAGTTCACCCCCCAATATATATATACTGTATACACAGCTGTTCAAGTTTGGGGGAAGATTTTTTATTTTTTTTTAATTAAAACATTTATTCATCCTGGATGCATTGGTCAAAAGTTACAGTAAAGCCTTTATAAACATATTAAAATAGAATTTTTTTTTTTAAATTGCAGTAATATTTCACAATATTACTGTATTTCTGATCAAATAATGTGCATTTTATGACAGAATTGTTTAGGTGAACTATCCCTTTAAGCTGAAATTCAAGCTGAAAATCAATACCCAACCAATATAGTTTGTGATGCATTCTTAGCTCTTTTACAAGGAATTTCAGCCAAATTATGATGTTTGCTTATTCTTTATATGTAACTTTTTTTTTTACATTTCCTGTTGTAGGAAGACTTTTATCCCAGTGAGGATTTGTTATAAGGTTTGAATGTGGCTAACAGGGCCTGTAATATCATGGAGACTTGGCAGGATGCTTGGGAGGTTTGGCATTGAACCATTTTAGCACTCTGTTTGTCCCCAAGATCCACTTCTGCACAGTCACTCTGTTTAATGAAGCCATACATCTCCAGCAGTCTTCTACACATCTGGAGATTGTATAGAAACAGAAGGCTGCACGACACTCATCTAGGTCTCCATATTTCACAGCATAAGCTTGAAGTGCCATTAAATTTCCAGCTAGATCTTTCTCCATCTCCGACAGCACTGTTCTATTGAGCTACAGTGGCAGAATCACCACTCTAACATGCAGACTCTATAAAAAATGACTATGATCGTTTGGTAAACAGGCCTGCTGTAATGTATAGAAGCTGCATCTGGGAATCAGCGATCCGAGCGAGGCAAATGAATGCTCCCGACTCCATAATTAATAAGTCCCAAAGCTCAATGAGGTGTCTTGTTTCAGGGATTATTAATCATTGATGATGGGCAGGGTAGGAGTGGGATAAAGGCTGGCCTCTCTTCTACCTGACCCCTAGAACATCTGATCCACCTGTACGGGTCACAACCAGACCCCTGCTTCACCATGTCACACACCATCTTCTCTACTACAGCTGTCAGTGGCGGGGAAACTGGAGCAGCTTTAATAGCGGGTTTAGTTTACTGTCTGGAAACTGAGAGATTGTTCTCGTGGGTTCAGGTTCTGTATGTGGAGTCTGTAACTAAGCTATCATAATTCTACTGAACACACAGGCATCATTTAAGCTTTCTGTCGTGGCCAATTTAGTATCAACC